GCTGGCTGAGGAATTCTGGGAGTTGAAGTCCACAAGTCTTAAAGTTGCCAAGGTTGGACACCCCTGCTCTAAACGCTGTGCCACAGAGGCTCCTAATGTTGATCCATTAAAAACAAAAAAAATCAAAATTCACAGTTGGGAAGGCATCTTTATTAGAATCAACGAAAGTGACTCGAAAATGTGCCAACTTTCAGGTTCTCCACCAATTTTTATTAGATTGGATATTAGAAAAAGCAGGGTCTGGGAAGAAGAAAACTAATCCCCAAATTAGGCCAGATTTTATAGACAAATCTTCTGGTGCTCATTTAAGTTGGGGTCTGAATACATGTTTCAGTAACAAGCACAATCAGACCGTGTTTTGCCCAACATTTAGGGACCAAAAAAAGCTGAATTTGATATCCCATATCTATATAATTTGGTCTCATTCTCTCCACCTGTACCTTGATTCTGGGAGATTATGCAACCTAGCATGGATGCATCCTGTTTTATTGGAATTCAATTTGGTCTAGTGGTGAAGGCACCAGTCTAGAAACCAGGAGATGGGGAGTTCTAGTCCTCCTTTTAGGCATGAAAGCCAGCTGGGTGACTTTGGGCCAATCACTAGGAGACTGGGAGTTGTAGTCCTGCCTTAGGCATGAAAGCCAGCTGAGTGACTTTGGGCCAATCACTCTCAGCCCAACCCGTCTCACAGGATGGTCGTTGTGGGTAAAATAGGAGAGGGAAAGTGTTGGATATTTTTGCTGCCTTATTTGTAAAAAATATAAAGGTAGATACAAATAAATAAACAAAATATGTACCTCATATTTTTAAATAATAAGTAATTGTGGTATTCTGAGTCTATCAATCTTCTGTCTTCTACTTTCAGGCTATTGTTTAGGCCTAGGATTAATGAAAACCACCTAACATACACCTGGCAGGAGTTAAACCAGATCATTTCAGAGATTATCTCCAACTCTTTGAATCAATTATTTAACAATATGAACACAGCAGTGGCAGGCACGCCTTAATGCTTAATTTTCATATCTTCACTATGGGCTCGTTCTCCTTGGCCCTCTGCTGCGTTTTGTCTGTATGGATTTTTTTGCATCTGGTTCTCCCTTCTAAACCTTAGCGGTATCTGCTATATCAACACATAACTTCCTATATTTTTCTTTTTAATGGAGTCTCCATTTAAAAGCAAAGAGATCAAATTTAGGATTTTGTCCCAGCCAGCTTCATCCTGAGGCAGAGGTCTCGCCCTATGTCAGATGCATCTCCTTCAACTCTGATCTTAGATGAAACGAAAACATCTTCAAGTCCCACAATTACAGCAAAACCACACACTGCTAATACCTTTGTGTTTCATCAGCCAAAGACTCCACCTTTTGAGATATGGTGTCCCTTAAATCAATATACACTGTTGGAGGCTCTGGAACGCATAAAGCTGCTGGAATCCAACTCAGATCATTTTTTATTGGTGCTGGAACAGAAACGTCTCTGAAAGCAGAAATGACATTCACTTTTTGTAATACTTTTACAATAATTATGTCAGTATTCGTTTAGCCTCTTCCTATACAACTTGTAAGGAACTGACCCAAGTATAACCTGGGTTGAAATCTGGATTGAGCTGCTCATTTCCAACCCTTTGGAGTGACACTGCCAAAGCATCACTTAAAGTAGGCCTCATAACCTGGAAAAAACATACCTTCACTTCTCACAGTACAGGTAATCCTCGACTTATGACCACAATCGAGCCCCCAATTTCTCATTGCTAAGTGAGACATTTGTTTTGCCTCATTTTACAATCTTTCTTGCCAGAGTTCTTAAGTGAAATTGGTTTCCCCATTGTTTGTCAGACAGTCGTAAAACGGGGATCACATGACCCTGTGTCACTGCAATTGTCATAAATATGAGCCAGTTGCCAAGCATCTAAATGTTGATCACATGACCCTGGGAAGGCTACCATGGTCATAAAGTGTGAAAAACGGTCATAAGTCTTTTTTTTTCCAGTGCTGTAGTCACTTTGAACAGTTATTAAAGGAACTGTTGTAAGTCGAGGACTCCCTATAATGCATAACACTTTTTCAGTAGCAAGAAACTTTGGGCAGATGCAAAGATGCTTCCAGCCGAGGCTGTTAGCCATAAACGTTGGCAAGATTTATTAGGCCGACATGCCTTGCCCTAATAAGACCTGAGCCAAAAATGTAAATTAATCTCTCTTTTATTTATGCATAAGCAAGAAGGCATCTCACTCAAACAGAGAGCAATTTAGAAAGAATCACTTTATATACAGTTCAAACCTATTCTGGCTGGAATGCCTTCTTTCCTTGGTAGCCTCATTTGACTCCTCTGTGGTGTAGCCCATCTCTCATGTAACGTTCCATAGCATCCCATAATATTCTCAGCATGATCTTGTTAAGGCTCGCCCTCCTGTTTAGGTGGCGTGCCTTCCACACTACAATGAGTTTCTAAAGTTCAAATCTACGTACAGGCCTTGTCTTTGGCAGAATTGAACCCGTTCGGCGTTCCTCGCAAAGACCTTACTTTGCTACTTCAAAGAAGTAGAAACATTAGATTGGGGTGCCAAGCTCAATTTCACTGAGGGCCCCATCAGGGTTGTGTTTGACCTTGGGGGGGCCGGGGCGGGTGTGGCCAACTTGACGTCACTCATGTCGGGGACACCTATGACGGCTCAAGCACTCTGCCAGCAAAAACGGGCTCCCAAGCTCCGTTTTCGGCTGCGACATCTTCCTGCAACCCTCTGCCATGGCCCTCCCATGGCAGGGGCACCGCGGGCCGGGCCTTCACTGGTTCCAGGGCAGCCCCGTTGGCCAGATCTAAGCACCCCACAGTCTGGATCCGGACCGCAGGCCTTGAGTTCGACAGCTGTGATGACCCAAAGGGGCATGGCACAAAAGCAACAAAGTCACAAAAGTAGGTAAAGTCCCTTTCATTCCTCTAACTTGGCCCCCAATGTCCAGTTATCATCAGTTGGAGAGAAAAAAACAATTCCCAAGAACAGTTTTTAAAGGGAAAAAATTCAGTCCGAACCCAAAGTACATATAGATTATAAATAAAAACCAACACAAACCATCCTGCAGCAATTAACGAACAAGGCAGGATAAGGAATTGCAGACTTCAAAAGATCATGAAACACAAAGTTGGGAGGATGCCAGAACTCAGGTAAGACTTGATAAACAAAGATAATTCACACTTTGCTTCCAGCAAGGTGCTGTGCGCAAACACCCTCTTTATCCTGTTTTCCCAGCTGCAGCTAATGAAGGGAATCAGGGCCTTTTTCTCCCCCATAACCCATGTTGCTCCCTTATCCGTTCCTCCCTGCATGCCCTAGGATGAAGAGGGGTGGGTGGGCCTGGGTCCTCCTCTGAATGCCCAGCCGGACTGTGCCCTTCCCCAGTTTCCTCCACAGCCACCGGAGCCACACTCCCACTCCCTGTCAGCTCTTCGACCTCCCCCTTGGAATCAGATTCCAACAGGGGCATGACAACACCCCTGCATTAGACAAAGGAAGTCCTAATGTCAGCTCTGGAAGCTATATTAGAATCTCCCGCTTCCTCACTGCCACATTCTTGAGCCTGGGAAAGTGGGAGGGGGGAATTTCTTGGAGTGTATGTGGTTAGACACAACAGCATTCTTCTTCTAAGACAAGGTCATGTTATTCTGCACCTGGGTGAGGGAACATCTCAAGTTGGGACGGATGGTGATTGGGGCATGTGATGCAATGATGGGTGCAGGAGGTGGGATTTGTAGTTTTTTACTTATTGCAAGGAAACCCGGAACTTTCAGATTCGGGATTTCCCAGATGTGCCAGGTTACTATCCAAATAAAGCAGAACTTTTGAGAAGATGTCTGTCTCGGAGTTATTGTTTGGAGTGGAGGTTTTCTGGAACGCTGACACCTAGTTACTGAAAACATTACTCACAGAGGGTCCCCTCTCCTGCTCCATCAAAGCAACAGAAGTGACCTACCTCACATCTCCCTGGCATTTGTCAAGGGAGGGAGATTTTGGGGGGTGCCTCTGCCAGTGGGAGGAAAATGCCTTGGACTGCTTACGAGACAATTCTTCCAGTTTTGCCATCAGCTTCGATTGGGTCACAGCCCTGAAACGTTCTGCAGGTGGGAAAGAAGAACTACTTAATCTTGCTGGGAAAAGAAATGCCAATATCTTTAGTCCAGCCCATCAGGAAAGCGGTATGGATTATTCGTTCATTTACAGAACATTTTTATATCCTTATTTACAGGAAGGTATTATGACAACCCTATCTCATTCAAATGAAAAAAAAAAAAGAAAGTTATTTTGAAAGAGAATCACACTTCCTGTAAGAGCTGAGAACTGGGGAAGAAAAATTATGCAAGTGTTAATAGCTTTCAGCCAACTATTGTTTCGTTGTAGAGCCATAGGTCTAAATTATATTGCAGCAGTCAGGTTCCAAAAATCTTTATAGACATTTGAAAAATACATAATGCTCGGAATTGCCTCTGATAAAACAGTTGCATCAACAATGACTTCAGTTCCCATAATCCCTCTTCAGTAAAGTCAGGCTAGCTAAGATTATGGGAGCTGAAGTTGAATTTCATCTTCAGGGCATCAGATTGGGGAAGATAAAATAATCAAGAAGAATTGGTATACATTACAGTAGGAATAACTATCCAAGCATTACCTGAACATCTGAACATTGTGCCCCTAATGGATATTCAGCTGCATTTCTGCAGATTTAGTTCAGTTCTAATGTTTTGTGAACTCACCATGGCGCAAAGAAGGAGATTCAGCTTCCCCTGGCCAGCTTATAGCTTTGCTTTGCCTCTCTAGCTTCTGGAGAACTTTGTCTAGATCCCATTTCTCAATATCCTGGAAGGAGAATCATTTGTAGATGAATAAAAACTATGGTTGCCAGCACATTGGATTCAATCGCCGAAAAGTTTCTTTGGAGTACAAATTTGGAATCTTTTGTGACTTTGAACCAAATGTCTTTTCCCAGGAAAATAGCCCCCTGTGTTTTCCAAACTACCTTTTGGAAGTTAAATGCAAAGTACTGCATAGCCATGCTCAGGACCAATTAAAACTTAACTTTACAAAATTGTACTGTAGATTTGTGGCAAAGAGCTTTTGCGACGCAGGAAGTATACTGTTTCAACATGAGACATATAATCAATGACAAAAAAAGATTTAACTGCACAATCTGTAAGTCATGTCTATCTGTAAACCATTATAACTCTTTTTCGTTTTTATTAAGCTTTATAACAGCTTCCCTTTGGGCCATGGCAACTTGTCCTTGTATCTTAATCCATCCCATTTTATTTTCAGTAAGTGCGACGTTAAAAATTTAGCTGTTTTTTGCCATCTATATGACACTTTTTATACCATGTTCAAAAATCGTCCACTTTGATTGCAGCATAAAATGTGTATGGATCCATCCAAGCTATCAGGATATTCAATAAGGTTCTGTCTGTATTTCCAAACATTTGCTCCCAAACTATATATTGAAAAAGACAATATAAGTGCCAAGTTTCAAAACATGAACAGTTAGAAATGTATGTTGCTGTTTCTTTCATATCACAGCCCCGAGCTTTGTGTCATAAACTGACAGCTTCAGGACCACAATAGCAATTGTGCATCATTCTGAAGACATAAACTGCCAATTACCGCTGAATAGCATCACAGTTGCAACAAATATGTAAATATGAGCCTTTCATTCTGATTCAGACACTGCTGGTGATCAAAGCTAATGTTGTTTCCCTTGTAAACTCCCATCTATTTGTTGCCTCTTAAAAGCAGAAACAAAAAAAGGGGCCGTTACGCGGTTGTTGGCTGCTGAACCTCCAAGAAATGGAAGACCAACCAACCCCCCCACCCCAAATGAGCTCTGTTCTAAAACAGAAAAAAAATTGGCTTTTTCAGATACTCCAGCTTAATTTGCCACATCAGGCTGGAGCTAACTGTGACTTGGCAAGGGCCCCAGAGATTCACTGATTGCGGAGCGGGGAAGAGGTGAAGATGGCAAATCCATAGAAATTACATTTAAAGCGTTTTTTTTCCACAGAAGCATGACGAATGATGCCTAAATCCACTTCGGCTACAGGATAATGTGCACTGCAACCCTTCAATAAATTTATTATGCCCAAGAAATGTTCAGTAAATGGGCTAAGTTCATGAGCTCTGAAACAGGACTGTTTACAGTTCAAAAGTAGACCTAGCTTTGCTAGAGTTCGGTCAAAGGAAAGTTCCAGCTTTGGGGCATGTTTGGAGCTTTTGAGAACTTGCCCCAGTCACTCACACTTCTCCTCATGCATAAATAAATACATTGCATTGCTCTGCTAAGGACACAGGTACATTCATGCCTGGTGATTAATCGGCACCTCAGCCATTGTGCCATCACCATCTCGACTTCAACTGCCAAAGACGTATAAAACTAAACCAGGAACGGACAATTATGGCCCCTTTATGACTTGTGGGCTTCAACTTTGACTGAGCATGGCTGGTTCAGGAATTCTGGGAGTTGAAGTCCACAGGTCGTAAAGGAGCCATAGTTGCCCGTCCCTAGAGTAGACCGTCTAGCTTGGTCTTATTCCTGGTTAGTGAGCCATGGTGCCGTAGTGGTTAAAATGCAGTATTGTAGACTAACTCTGGTGACTGCCAGGAGTTCGATCCTGACTGGTACAAGGTTGACTCAGCCTTCCATCCTTCCAAGGTGGGTAAAATGAGGACCCAGATGGTTGGGGGCCAATAGGCTGACTCTGTCAACTGCTTAGCAAGGATTGTAAAGCACTACAAAGTGGTATATAAGTAAGTGCTGTTGCTAGTGGCATTCCTTCGTATTTCTACAAAGAACTTTTCTAATCCTCTCTAGAGATGCTGAGAATTTAACTAACACCTTAGTACATAACCGCAGAAGACAGTTGTAACTTTGAGGACGAGTCCTAAGTCTCTTTTTTTTCAGCACCATAATACAAAACTGTTGTTAAATGAATAGTCATAAGTCAAGGACCAACTGTACAGAGGCAGAAAAGATCCTATTCCGATCCATACCTTGAAGCGAAATAGTGTCAGTTCTGGAGGATGTTCAACTGACACAACTGCCTCCTCCTTTTTGACCTCTGCCGTTCTTCCTTCCTTGTTCTTATCTTGGGGTTCTGGACAGCCTAGGCCAGAAAGAGGTCTCAACGGTGCTTTGGAAAGGATCTGGGTTTCGATGAGCCTCCTCCGCTCTTCCTCACTATCGTCCGACCTCAAGAAAGGCGGTATTTCCACGGGTGGTATCACGTCAGGGGATGAACCTGGCATGTCCTTCTCTTTCCCAAGATCCCACACTTTTCCGGCAATGACCCTTGAAATGCCCTCATCCAACCGTTGCTCATTGATGGAGAATTCCAAAGAACTAATGGCATCTTGGCTTGGGTCTTCTTCATTTTGAGATCGGAGTTCAAGCAAGAGGCCCCCGCTAGGTTCGGACAGAAGGACTCCCTCATTCTGAAAAGCTGAACTTCTCAGATCTCCATTCCAGGCCTCCTGGGGAGGCCTCATGAAGGAGAAGGTTTCCTGAAAGTTCAGAAGAAACGCCGGTTACCTTGCCATCAACAGTAGGGGTACTCCTCGATTTATGAGATTCAGTAGGAATTAAGATTAAGAATTTCCTTTGCTAAAGCAAGGCGATGAAGTGAATCACTCCCGATTGCACAACCTTGGTTGTTAAGTGAATCACTGAAGTGTTGAAGTGAATTGTGCAGTTGTGAAGGCGGTCTATTTTCCTCCCAGCGACTTCGCTTGTCAGAAGTCAGCTGGGAGAGTGGCGTGTCCCCCCCCACTCCCCTAGCAAATGGCATGTCAACCTGCAAAACAACTTCAACTGAAGCCATGCTTACTTCCACTTTGTTTCTCAGTTGCCATTTGCTAGGGGAGTGGGGGGGGGGGGAGGAAATTAGGAATGTAGTGCCTCGGCTGGATAGTCATAACGATTACCAGCCGGCGTGTGAACCAAGGTCATGTCAATGCACACCTGTCGAAGCCAGGGAGGGGAGGGGAGCCTATGACTGTACTGATTGGCCAATGTGACCAGTGGTGGTGGTGGGATTCAAATATTTTACTACCAGGTCTGTGGGCGTGGCTTGGTGGGAGAGGCATGGCTTGGTGGGCGTGGCAGGGGAAGGGTACTGCAAAATCCCCTCCCCACCCCACTAACCTGCTTTGCAGCTCCGTTCTCCTGTGCAGGGCGACCAAAGAAGACCCAGCCGATCAGCTGGGACTCAATGGGAGGCAGAGAAGAGATGGGGTTGGCGGGGCCAGTCAGAGGTGGATTTGCCAGTTCTCCAAACTACTCAAAATTTCTGCTACCTGAACCTGCTGAAGACCACCTCTGAATGTGACCTGAGAGACCTGCAGGTGGGTGGGGGAAAATCCTATTCTTTTAACTTTCCTTATGCATGGGAATAATTTAGAGCAGGGCTGTCAAACTCACGGCCTGTGGGCTGGATGCATTATGTGCTGGCCCTGCCCCTGCCCGGTTTAGTAAAGGGGGAAAAAGTCCTGATACGTCATGTGATGCTGCTGTGATGCCGTGAGTTTGATACCCCTGATATAGAGCTAGCTTCGTCTTCCTAAGTGCCGATATGATGTATTCGTTGAAGGGTTTCTTGAACTTGAACAAGGTATCAGAGTCCTGACTTCCTGGAGTTCATTAATGGGAATGACATGGCAATCACGTGACCCTGGGAGGCTGCAACTGTCATACATACATGCCAGTTGCCAAGCGCCTGAATTCTGATCCTGTGACCGCGGCAATGTTGCGATGGCCATACAGTAAACATAAGGGCTGGTGGTAAATGTATCTTTTCTTTTATGTACACAGAGAGCTTATGCACCGAAGACAAATCCCTTGTGTGTCCAATCACACTTGGCCAATAAAGAATTCTATTCTATTCTATTCTATTCTATTCTATTCTATTCTACTCTACTCTACTCTACTCTACTCTACTCTACTCTACTCTACTCCACTCCACTCCACTCCACTCCACTCCACTCCACTCCATTCCATTCATTCTAATATCTATTCTATTCTATTCTATTCTATTCTATTCTATTCTATTCTATTCTATTCTATTCTATTCTATTCTATTCTATTCTATTCCATTCCATTCCATTCCATTCCATTGCCCTATTTTATTCCCCTGTTCTATTCTATTCTATTCTATTCTATTCTATTCTATTCTATTCTATTCTATTCTATTCTATTCTATTCTTCTATTCCATTCCATTCCATTCCATTCCACTCCACTCCATTCTTCTATTCTAAATTGCTTTTTTCCCAATACTGTTTAACTTCAAATGGTTGTAAATTAAGGACTACCTGTGACGCACCTTTGAAAAACATTAACAGATTGAGGCAAAAACTTTGTGCCTGGTGGTTGTATGTGCCTATATGCCACACGCAGAGACAATGCTTATACAACAACTTAATTCGGCAGGCTAAAGATCCACTAGTTGCATTTGCACAACATGTAATGCTTGGGTGGCATTACCCTTGGTTACTTTTGTTGTCGTGATCAGCGCGTTGTGCAAAAACCAGCCCATTGGTTGGCTTGTGCCTCAGTGTTCTGTGCTTATCTAGAAAATGATCAAACACATTAAGTCGAGCAAGTTTTGTAAACTGCAGCCAAGGAATTTTGTACAAAACTTCAGCCAGGGGTAGCTCTTTAAGTAAACTATTAATAATCTCTCTTATTTAAGCCTTCGTCAACTTCCTGGTTGGCCCAACTAAGCCTCATTCATTCTAGGTTAAATACAATGAGACAGAATGATTAGATAATTCGAATCCATCATAATATTTTAACAACTCCATAATCCCTAGTGGGGGTGGAACCTGGGCAACTGAATGGAGCTGAGTGTTTACTGGCCGGATGCCCTTCCTGTTGCCAGTACGGAGTTTTGTTCAACAGATACATTCTCATCGTGCCCAGGGAGAGGAATATCTGCCTCTACCTAGGATCGAACTCACCGCCTCCTGACTTTGAGGCGAGAGCTCCACTTCTAGGCCACCGTGCCACTCAGATCATTAGAATCAATTACTTGCAAGTATGATTCTTCCAGTGGAAGATCTTCTAGTTCTTCCATCAGGTCAGGAATCAAGTTGGACTGATCTCGTTGGAAGAGAAAAAGGTCCCCATCTTCATCGCTATCAGCCTGTCAGGTAAGAAGTAGAAACTGGATGAAATTTGTAAAAAAGGCACAGCAACAGAAAACGACACTGGCGCCTGCCTACTGTTTCTTTCGGGGAGATCATAAATCTCAGCATCACATTGTAAACAATACGCTCATTTACTGGGAAGAAGTCATAGAACACAAACATAAAATCATAGGGTTGGAAGGGACTTTAGTCCAACCATCTAGTCCAACCATCTACTCAGTAGGAGACCGTATAGCGGGGCTGGACAACCTTGGCAATTTTTAAGACCTGTGGATTTCAACTCCCAGAATTCCCCAGCCAACCAAGGGAAATTGAAGACTTTGAAGTCCACAAGTCTTAAAAGTTGCCAAGGTAGAACACCGTTGCCCTATACCAGTGGTGGGATTCCAAAAAATTTACTACCGGCTCTGTGGGCGTGGCTTGGTGGGCGTGGCAGGGGAAGGGTACTGTAAAATCTCCATTCCCACCCCACTCCAGGGGAAGGTTACCACTGGTTCTCCGAACTACTCATAATTTCCGCTACCGGTTCTCCAGAATTGGTCAGAACCTGCTGAATACCACCTCTGCCCTATACCCTTCCAAAGTCTCCTCTTGAAAACTTCCAGTGATGGAGCACCCACAATTTCCAGAGTTAAACCAGAATCTCAGCATCTATAGCATTTCTCTAGAAAGGACTTTTAAAAATAAAATAGGACAGTACGAATCACAGCAAACAACACAGTGCTGTTTAACAACATTATTATTATTATTATTTTAAAAAATCTGTTTATGGATGTATGCCCCTGGGAGAAAACGTTAAACTTTTATAATTCAGGGCTTCAACTTGAGTTTCTATGACTATGAATGCCTGCCTTGCAGAGAAAGGCAACTGCTTCATCTATGAATGAATGAATGAATGAATGAATGAATGAATGAATGAATGAATGAATGAAGCTGGAAGGGACCTTGGAGGTCTTCTAGCTGCTACTCATTCTGCAAATCTCCCTGGATGAATCAACTCCTCTGACTTGATCAGAGCCACGTAAGTGAGACAGGAGATGCAGAAATTTGATAAATGCATGAATAAAAAGAATAACTGAAGTAATAAAAAAAGAAGTAATAACTGCGATTACCAGAGATACATCCGAGTCCATCGAAGGAATCTGATCTCTTACTGCAGACAGAAGGGATCCCCACCGGAAGGGAGTGCCATGAAAATCAGGGGGACCCCCCGTTTCCTGGTTTCCATCCCCCGATGCCATCTGAAGGGGACCCGGGCTACTCGTTGAGAAAGGAGTCAGCGCATGGCACTACCTTTGCAATTTTGCAAAAATTGCAAAAAATAAAAATAAAAAATCAACATGCATCCAAATGGAGAATTGCTAAGTTTGATACGGGGGATTCTATAGGGTTGGTTCTCTGGGGGTCTCCCTGGGGGGTCTTTTGGCCTTAACCCCCAAGGACCACAAGAGGACCAGACAGGCAATTTGTTTCAGTTCCATCAATTAAATATTTCTTTCAGTTACGTGAATTAAATATTTCTTCCAATTACATCATTTAAATATTTCTTTCAGTTACATGAATTAAATATTTCTTTCAGTTACGTGAATTAAATATTTCTTTCAGTTACGTGAATTAAATATTTCTTTCAGTTATGTGAATTAAATATTTCTTTTAGTTATGTGAATTAAATATTTCTTTCAGTTACATGAATTAAATATTTCGTTCAGTTATGTGAATTAAATATTTCTTTCAGTTACATGAATTAAATATTTCTTTCAGTTACGTGAATTAAATATTTCTTTCAGTCACGTGAATTAAATATTTCTTTCAGTCACGTGAATTAAATATTTCTTTTAGTTATGTGAATTAAATATTTCTTTTAGTTATGTGAATTAAATATTTCTTTCAGTTACATGAATTAAATATTTCGTTCAGTTATGTGAATTAAATATTTCTTCCAATTACATCATTTAAATATTTCTTTCAGTTACATGAATTAAATATTTCTTTTAGTTATGTGAATTAAATATTTCTTTCAGTTACGTGAATTAAATATTTCTTTTAGTTACGTGAATTAAATATTTCTTCCAATTACATCATTTAAATAGTTCTTTCAGTTCCATCAATTGAAAGGGGGAAGAAAACATTTTGGAGTCAAAGAACCAAGAATGAGATACAAGGAGGAAGGAAAGGGAGTCTGGTTACTATGGCAACTGTCGATCAATTTGCCCCGCCTCCTGGTAACGGGGCCAGCTTTCGGCGCGTCCGTAGCAACCAGAGGCGACGGCCTCTGTCCGGTTGAATACCGCCTCGCTGTTAAGGCCACCGGCGTAGCCCAGCCGCTCTCACGACCCCTTCCCCGCCGCAAGGGAGGAACCGCACAACGTCCGCGAACCGCAATCGCTGTTAACTCCGAACCGCATTTCAAACGGCGTGCATTTCCCGTCTTTGGCTCCACCCACCGGGAGGTCCTGGCAGGACAGCAACGTCCATTTAGCATGGCCACCCTTCCCTGCTTGGAAACGACCAGCCAATAAAAAATTAAATGCTTGACAGGAGTCGGATTCAGGCGAGGAAGGACACACCGCTGTTCTTTCTTTCTTCTCTTCCTCCTTTCTTTAAACGGTCGTTTCTCTCGTCATCTTTCCGGACCTGGCGAGACTTAGACAAGAGGTTGTTTTCTCTCCCCACCCGCTCTGCTTTTTTTTTTTTGCCAAGGGCGTTCATTGGCTGACTGGCTCGGGAGGCGGGGAGGTAGCGCGAGCCCAGCTTCCCATTGGTTGGTTGGGCCCCGGCGATGGATGATGGACGTAACCGAGAAGCAGTAGCCAGATGGAGGCGGCAGGAAGAGAGTGGGGTCACGAGGGCGGGGCGTGAGCGAGAGGCCTGCAGATCCGGCTGACAGCCTCTCTTCTTGGTTTTGTCGCCGCTGGTTCGCCGGAGAGCCGGGTAGGTGTACTGCGTACGGTGGCCGCGAGGGGCAAAACTTCTAGGCTGCCGCTCTCCGAAAGGCTTCGTACCCCGGGAGCCTCCCGAAGGCCTAGCCGTGTCTTGGCGGGGCTGCTTGAGAAACGAATGGGCGTTTGCGGCCGGTGTCCCAGGAGTTGGACTACAACTCCCATCGGCCCCAGCCTATGAGGTTGATAGGCACCACTGCCTCTTGGTTTCTTTATCCTGGTATTTCTCAACTTTAAGAAGCCAACTCCTTCCCACTCCCAGAATTCCCTAGCCTGGCTGGGGAATTCTGGGAGTTGAAGTTTACTCATCTTAAAATTGCCCAAGTTGAAGCAAAAATGGACCTTTAGAACAATGGATACAGTGTAAATTTTAGAGGAACATCAAAAAACAATAAAAGAGGCAGGTATTTGTCGAGATTATATCTGCTGAATATAACTCCGCATTGGCAACTGGAAGGGCATCCGGCCAGTAAACACTCAGCTCCATTCCGTTGCCCAGACTCCACCCTGCCAAGGATTATGGGATCGTTAAATGAAGATGATGATGATCAAAAAGCAATAAAAATGAGAACAACCCAGGGTCTAAAATGACTTCTGATTTGCCATCAAAGAAGAACCTGTTTCATGATGGTTTTAATATTTCTTTGAATTGTTTTGTATTGTTTTTACCTATTGGTATGCCACCCAGAATCATATATATGAAATTGACAGGTTTATATTATATTTATATAAATTTAATAGCCGCTATATATAGCTGCCCATCTTAGGTATGTGGCTCTGGGTAGAATACCAAAACAATGATAATAAGAGCAGCATAACACAACCAAAAATGCAAAACAATTTAAAAACAAGTAAGACATAAAGGTAAATAAGACTGGGAGCATGGACTAGCATTCTATACACACAGCATAGCCATCTTGGGAACCCCCAATTTCACTACAATCCTGTTGAAAGAACCAGGGTTTGAGTGATTTCCTAAACGCCCATTTTATTTCCTTTTATACAGCTGCCCGTCACACATACAATGGTGAAAAAGAAAGTAAACCCTCTTTGACTTCTGTGGTTTTATGTATCAGGATATGGTAAAAAATCATCTGGTCCTTAGCAATTCTTAAATGGAGGTAAATGCAACCTCAGATGAGCAACACATGACCTATTACACCATGTTGTTATTTATTTTACAAAAAAAAAAGCCAACTATTGTGATTAAGTGTGCAAATGCACCCCTTCCCAATACTGCCTGAAAGCATAGGTCTGATTTCAATCCAAGGAACATTCTATGAAGCAAGGAGACCAAGATCCCTTATGCAGTTGATAGAAGGCTAAGCACTCCTTAGGATTTTCTGACATTATAATAAATGCATTGGGTGCTGAATAACAGTGCTATTGTCTTGTCTGGATAAATTTCAGCCCCGCGGTCGTTGGTGCCCTGATGTCTCATATCCAGTAGATTGGTGAAATTAAAAGAATTCAAGGAACTATTTTTTGGCTTCTGAGGGCAGAATGTCGGAACTGAGCGACGAAGCCAGTGAGGCCGAGCTCTTGAACTGCAGCCTAACCATGTGGCACGGAGAGGGTCAGGCGGCCAGCCAACAAGAATTAGACATACCTTTGGATCTTCATACAGCAGCTTCCATAGGCCAGTATGAGGTGGTGAAGGACAGTATTGAACGGTAAGTAGGGTGGAATGTAGTCTGGATTCCCAGGAGGGAAGAGGCTGCGTTCCAAAGGAGCAAGAGGCAACTTAGTGTAGAGAGTTGCTGTGAGAGAAAGAGAGGGAAGATACTCCTCCCTAATAGTTCCCAGAGTATATGCTTGATGTGGGTGGTAGCTTGCTTTAGTTTGGCAAGATTCAATCTATAGGTGAGAAACAATAAAGTAATCTACTTGGAAGCATCATTACTTGTCTGTCTTGGTTTCTGGAGCCTGACAGTAGGAGAATATCTAACAGGAACTTACTACTGTCAGTAATTTTATGAAAGTCAATAATAGGGATGGGGTTTTTTAACATTTCAAAACGTTTCACATCCAATCTAAAATGGGAGACTATGCTGCTACTTCATTTGCCCGCATGACCTCATTTTGATAATTCAGGATAGCCAGTTTGGTATAGTGGTTAAGATATCAGGCTAGAAACTGGGAGAGAGTGAATTCTAGTCCCGCCTTGGGCACGAAAGCCGGTTGGGTGATTTTTGAACCAGTCACTCTATTTCAGCCCAATTCAGCTCACAGGGTTGTTGTAGGGAAAGAATATTAAACACGTTTGCCGCCTTGAGTTTTTTTTTTTTTAAATAATAAAGGCAGGATATTAGTAAATAAAATACTGTAATTCTGTGCTGTGTGTAAATTAGTGGCAGCCCAAGCATGCCTTCAAGAAAACCAGAGGAAATGTTGAGAGCAGCGTACAGTACCTTGCAAACATAAGAAGAGCATTTCCAGGCCCACCTTGCCCAAAAGTTTGTTATCCTGACAACTGATCCTATGTCAAAATGAAGCCGGTGAGCACAGTTGGCCCCTTTCTCTCCTCTTCTGCAGCAAGCCACCATAGGAAGTTTGCTCCCAGTGGACAGAACAAAGGCAGTGAGATTAAAAGGATTTTGAAAACACTCATTTTTAGGCCAGAGAGAAACCGTTTCAAGTTTCTGACCTGAACAGCAATGCCTTGCGGTCTGCCACCTTTGGGGGAAAACTCACATGCTGTGTACCTTCCAGAGGGGAGAAGGACTTGGATCAGAAGAACCGCGGTGGCTGGACTCCGCTGATGTATGCCTCCTATATTGGTTACGACACCGTTGTGCGCATGCTGCTACAAGCCGGAGCCAACGTGAACATGTCCACCCCAGAAGGACAGACCCCGCTGATGTTGGCAGCCAGCTGTGGGAACGAATGTGCAGCTGCCTTTTTGCTTCAGGTGGGGTGAGCTTTAGAACGACTGTCAAAATATCAAATCAGTCACACCGTTTAAATAGGGCAAGGGCCACTTCTGGTTAGCTTTTCATTTTGATACAGCCAGCCCAGTTTTAAGAATCAAGATCAAATGCATTGCACACCAGAATAACTAGACACAAGGACTGGTTTTTCCCCGCATGCCATCGCTCTGCTAAATAATTAACCGTGTTTTCCCCAAAATAAGACCCTGTCTTAATATTTGTTCCCCACAAAAAAAAAAAGGCACCAGGTTTTATTTTCGGGGGATGTTATCCACTGACTAATATAACCTACAACTGTCCAAGTAGTAGGTTAGCTCCACTCCCCCACCCCCACCCTAGCTTAATTTTTACCCATCCACTCTGGAGTGTGTGTGTGGGGGTCTTAATTAGGGCTTATTTGGGGGGTAGGGCTTCTATTGGGTGCTCGTGTAAAAATCAAAATAGGACTTACTTTCAGGGTAGGTTGTATTTTTGGGGAAACAGGGTAATTCCCACAAGACTGTCAAACTATTTACTTAGACCATATTACTCTTTTTCCCATCCTTTATATTAACTATCTCCTACTTATAACGACAACCTTGTTGCTTTTATCTTTATGATTGTATTGTTTTATTTAGTTTCCTAGTATGGTTTGGATTGCTTATTTAGTATCCTATGAACTATCACTGTAATATCTTGTGATTCTTGACGAATATATTTTATTTTTTCTTTATGTACACCTAAGAGCATATGCACCAAAGACAAATTCCTTGTATGTCCAATCACACTTGGCCAATCAAGAATTCTATTCTATTCTATTCTATTCTATTCTATTCTATTCTATTCTATTCTATTCTATTCTATTCTATTCTCTGAAAACATCATGAAGGCACCTTGAATGAGGTGCCTACTTTTCAGGGAGGTGAACCTGGGAAATGTGTTATAACGTTTCATTTCTCTGAAGCAAGGTGCTGAGTTGGAGATGAAAGACACCCATGGCTGGACTGCCCTCTTTCATTGCACCAGCGCTGGCCATCAGCAGATGGTGAAGTTCTTACTGGACAGTGGAGCCAACGCCAATTGCAGGTGAGAAAAAAGGACTAAATATAACACAAGTCATCCTCAACTTACTGTTGTGGTCCGCCGGCAGCCTGTGGAGGTGATAGCAGAGCCAGACAGTGGGGAGGAACATGGGCCAGTCTGGGAGTCTGGGGAGGACTCGGATGAGGGTCCTGCGTCCAATACAGAGATGGGGCCAGGACCATCTGGGAGTTATGTGCTGACTCCGGAGCCTCCAGAATCTGACAGCAGTGAGGCAGAGGGACAGGGGGAGCCTGTTCCCAGTGAACGCGTTTGCACAGAGCTGCCAGAAGGCAAGAACAGTTAAGACAAAAGGGGTGACTCGGGAGTAAGGCTTGTAGGTGATTGGCCCTCCTCTAAGATATAAAGGAGGAGCAAAGGGACAGGAACCTTTGCAGGAAGCAACTTTGTTCGCTCTGTTCGGATTGAACCTTGAAGCTCCGTGTGGACTTTGTACTCTGGCTTTTTACAGTTCATTTGGCACTTTAGTTGTTGGCAGCAATTCAAAGGAGAGAAAGGTGGGTGCTTATCTCGAGAGACTGTTTGGGACTCGTTACGGGCTGGGAATGAACATAATTCCCAGCCGTTGAAATAAAAAGAGGATTGTTTGGACTAAGCATGTGATTAATTACAGTCTCAGGAAGCCTTGGTCGGAACACTTACAACAGTTTATTTAGTGAATGTTCAAAGCTACAACAGCACTGAAAAAAAGGGACTTATGGCCGTTTTTTACACTTAACAACCATTGCAGCCTCCCCACGGTCACGTGACCAAGAGTCAGAGGCTTGGCCACTGACTCACACTTGTGACGGTTGCAGTGTCTCATGGTCGTACGATCCCCTTTTGCCACCTCTGACAAGCCAAGTCAGTAGGCAAGCCAGATTCATTTAACAACCATGTGACTAATTTAACATCTAACTTAACGGTGGCAAGAAAGGTTATAAAATGGAGCAAAATCCACTTAACCAATGTCTAGCTCAGCAACAGAAACTTAGGGCTCCATTGTGGTTTTAAGTCGAGGACTAGCTGTAAATTTTAAGGAATTGCAAATCTGGCTATCATAGCCTATATAAGGCGGCGACATCTAGAAAGTAACAAGTCTGATTGCTTGATTTATAATCAACTAATCTAGAATGTAAATGGCCATAATAGCTAACCTTATAGAACTCCAACAATCTTAATCAGTAAAGAAGTCCCATTGAAGCTCCCAAGATTCTAGAAAGAGTGCAGAGAAGAGCAACCAGGATGATGAGGGGACTGGAGGCTAAAACCTACGATGAACGGTTGCAGGAACTGGGCATGGCTGGTCTAGGGAAGAGAAGGACGAAGGGAGACAGGAGAGCATCTTCCAATATTTGAGGGGCTGCCACAGAGAGGAGAAAGGGGTCAAGCTATTTTCTAAGGCACCCGAAGCCCAGACAAGGAATAATGGATGGAAACTGAACAAGGAGAGGTTCAACCTGGAAATAAGGATAAATTTTCTGACAGCGAGAGCAATCAACCCATGGAACAGAAGTTGCCTTCATAAGTTGTGGGAGCTTCATCCCTGGAAGCTTTCAAGAAGAGACTGGATTGCCATTTGTCAGAAATGGTGTAGGGTCTCCTGCTTGGGCGGGATGTGTGTGTGGACTAGATGACCTGTAATGTCCCTTTCAACTCTGTTAATCGGTTAATTTTCTACTTTCCTCCTTTCTTTTTGCATTAAAACACTATAATATTGCATTCTATAGAATGTAATAATACATTCTATACAATTGAATTGAAAACCTGATGTTGCATTAATATTACACTATATACAGTAGAATTCAAAAGAGCTACTGCCCTGGGATAGAAGCTGTTTTTCAGCCTATTTGTCCTTGTTTCTATT